CTTAAATGTCTGTCGCGCCCATTGAAGCTGCTAAGGGAGTAATTAACTTCCGTAAATGCTTAAATTGAATGCGATTTAGTGAAAGCCACCTCGGAGATAGATCTATCCTGCTAGTATGATTGGGAATGGTCCCTTATTGACAGTTTGTGTTAATGTGCTAATGCACACTTCATACTTTACGAGGGTCCTCGCTGAACTTGTAAGTTTTTTCTAAAATCTTAAAAACAGCTGGGTAATATAAAGTGGAATTACCTTTTTTTAAATATAATGTATGTGTGGTGCAAAATGATTGCTACAAGACTGGTTTTAAAGTCTCAAAGTCCAACAGTTTAAAGTTGATGTTTTCACATTTAAAAATGGAAAAATTTAATTCAATTCACATAAACTAAAATATTGAAAAATGTTTTCATTTCATTAGAAACATATGCATTGCAATCACTGAATGAGAATTTTTTTACATATTTGACTCTTAAGGAAATCTATGATCATGTACAATCACCCTACAACATGCTTTAGGGTAAAGGAAGTTTCAATAAAGTCATCACGGCCCAGGTTTTATGAATATATCTATAAGTCAAACTTTGGATACAGAACTAAATAGGTTTACACAAGTTTACCAAAAAGTGCTTTTCAACTTAATTTTACCAGTGCATAAATGCTTAGAGGCATTCTGAAGAACAACATTTTGTATGGCGGAGCAAGTCTCCACATAACAGGGGAGCTAATCAGGTTCTCAAATATAAAGCATAAAGGACCGCAACTGTTCTTAAATAAAATTACACCGACGAGTTATAAATGTCGTTTTCAGCTGACTCAACACATGTATGGCCCATGTTGTCAACGCCTCCTGTTTCATAAATGTCGTTTTCAACAAACTCCACGTCGTCAGCATCAACGATAGACTGGGCAGAGCCTCCATTTTGAAACTGCCCTGCAAGTTCATAGGTGCTACTGCAATCCTGTCTTGAAACGGAAGATGCCTGGGCAGAAGGTTTGCTGACATATTCATACTCATCGTCTGGATTGCTTGCAGGGGTATTTTGTTGCTTCTTGTCTTTTTTGGTCTTTTTGGATTTGTCAGGCACGGCATATAGGTCCTGTACGTTCATCTTGGAATCAGAGGCCTGGTTTTTGTTATGAGAATTCTGTCTCATATTATTTGACTGATCATGACGGTCTGTCATTGGACATTCTCCCTCGAGTTCGTATGGATTTGTGTCAACATAAGTGTTGGATGCTGTGTACATTGTGTTGCTGAGGTCTCCATTTCTTGATACATGGATATCATCATTTGAGTTTGACATCTGTTTCCTGAAACGAAAAATGTTCCATTTACTAATCAATGCGTTAAAAGCAAAATAGATAAATAAATGTATCAATCGAACAAAAAAGACACTTGCAACTCCTCAAGTAAGAACTGTAGGCCTATCTATTTATGGTCTAATTTTATCACAAGATCTAATGTGTCTCTGAATGACTCATATTACTGTTTTAAGAAGAATTAAAAAACTTTTTTATTTAAAGAATACTTTGATTTATAGCATCTTTTTAGTTTTTAAAATTTTTAAGTATTCTGATTTAGTCTATACTGGCTTTAATTTAACTGTGGAGTTTTTATTTTTTATGTAAACAGCGCTGAGACGCATGTGTAGCGCGGTTTTAAAGAAGTGTTTTATTATTATTATTATTATTATTATTATTATTATTATAAGCCAGTAGGATGAAGACAAAAGATGAGTAGAATATCAATATTTAAGTAAAAACAAATCTAAAAACCAACGAATTTATAGATCATGGCGGATATATAAACATTTTAATGATACCATCAACGTGCACCAGTGCAAATGCATTAAAAGATAAATATCAAAGGGGATGTGTTAATTACATGGTTCGTGGGACGTGTAATATTTTATAATGTTGTTGTACGACAGGTAAAATGCTGACAATTTCTCCAGTTTCTCATTTTTTATTATACAGTGTAAACGCTCTTTTCATTCTTACATATACATTGTAATTGTGCGTCCCTAACACTAACTTTAACAGAAATGAAATAAAACAACTCAGTATGGTTTGTTGCCACTTACCATCTACGTCTGACGAATACAACAACTATAACAACAAGTAATATCAGCAATATCGCTCCAGTAACGCCCACACCGACACTGACACCAATGTTACTATTGTTAGGGTCTGTGGATGCGGCTTGGGTACCAGCACCAGGCAACATCGCTGAATGGTAAAAAGGAAATAGGCAAGCTTTAAATATTTTCCACTAGATAGTGAAGTTTCTCTATAAGTAAATTTTGCTCTGATTTTGCCTGAAATTAGGTTAACTATATTTCAATGATTTCCTCTACAGTGGCATATACTATTTCATATGCATTCGCGACTAACAAACATCTTTTGAAAGGATTTATAAATCACCTACCAGTTTTTAGAATACCTTTCCGTTTCTGCACAGAAAACCCGATTCTCAGGTTACTAGTGCTTATTACTTTATAAATATTCATTAAAAGCCGTACCTGAACAACTAAGAGAATCCACCCCAAATCCGCCGGTCTCATCACACGTCAATATTATACTGGCATTACCATCCGGGAATCGAAATCCTTTAATGCATTTGAATTCAACTGCAGCCATGAAGAATAAATGCGTGCTATCTGAAGTTGTCACTGTATTGTTTAAATTAGGTAAACTACATGTTCTCTTTATGCAGTCAGGTATTGGCGGTTCCAGAGTATTAGTCGCAATACATTGTGACGTAAATGGTGAGTCGACGTCATAGCCAGCGAAATGATATCCAGGAATGCAGGAAAATGTCACATTCTGCCAGTTAACATATGGCCCTTCTACTGTCTTCAAGTTCAATTTATTGGTTGGAAAAGCACACGATATGGGAATACAGCTAGGTAAACTCTGGTCAAATGTACCGTCGGATTGGCAAGTAAGGTTCTTTACCGTTAACGTGTCGTTGAATTGGAAGCCAGTATCGCATGTATATGTCACAGTTTGTCCTTCAAAGGTAACGGAACGCTGTGTAACTTGTTTTAGGTGATCACCTACTGGAAGGACACAGGTTCCTGGAAGTGGAGTATTTTTTAAATATCTTCATTAATTCAAGTTTGCAATATTTTATGATGTTGTTATACGACAGGTAAAATGCTGACAAACTCTGCAGTATCTAATCCGATAATTTAGGCCATTTTGACAACGAGTAGTATCAGCACCGTCGCTCCACTTACCCAATTACACCGAAAATTATTATGCCCCGAATATAAACTGAGGCATAATCCTAACAAGGTTCCATCTGCAGCCGACCGACCTTTTCATTTATAATTCTCGATATGTTCTTATTTTTGTAACTTTGACGTCTTTTTGAGGTCAGACTTACTGGTGCATGTTTTTCTCTCCCCTTCCAACATTCCCCTAGGACCGCAAGTCAGTGTGAAACTGTTACCAGAACCATCTCTGAGTTGATACCCACTGTGGCAAGTATAGGTAACAGTGCTACCAAAATTGTAATCTCCAAGTACCGGAGAAGGAGCTGCATTGGGAAAAGTTTGTGCAGTGCATTCCACATCTAAAACAAAGTGCCTGTCTGTGAAGATATCGATCAGTGACATTGATGATGAAATGATGGTCATTTGGCTGCACAAAGGACCTTATATATTGACGATTTCCAGTTGCGCTTACATGTATTGTTTATTTGTATTACTCATTTGTATAAGAAGATAAATGCAAAAGAGATATCATGTACCTCTAAGTCCCACTTACTATCAGAACATTGTCCACCGGTACGTCCCAGGTTACACACACACTCCTCTGAAGATATCTGTGTCGGTGAGGTATATGTTCTCACACACGTACCTCCAGTAGAGCAGGGGCAGTTGTAGGCAGGATGACCTAAAAATAATTAAATCATACCATATGCATGTTACAAATTGTTGATATGCTAGCAGCGGTATAAAAGAATCTGCTGGATAACTAAATATTATTTGTTATCACGTTGGTAGCTAATTTTAGACTGGTGTTGGGTATATTTCACTCATACTCTACTCTCTTTTAGGTATTCGTATTCGTATCCGTATTCTATTTTTACTTTCCCATCATTATGTCTTGCTTTATTTTAACCTCTTCTTCATCTCCAACAATAAGATAAAAAGCACAAAGCAAAATTCAATATGGTTAAAAATGAAATCGTTTCATATTGCAACTTACCAGGACACCGTTTCAATTGATAGTGACGCAGATTATTGCCAAAGGTAAGGTCACCGCACGAAGTAGAACTGTAATGGAGCCAACACCCCCACCTATCCCAGTCAACTGCGCCACATGTTGGGTCATCGTTACAGGCCTGTAAACAGCGGGATAATGGTTTATAAAACTTCCATGAGCCTCCACTGACACCCCTGTTCTCATATACATACAACACGTAGTCTGGCACTGAAATGAAAATATGACTATCAGCAATATACATGTACTTCTTAGAGGTACATGCCCTTAGTTTACTGCATAAACAATGATGTGCGCACTGCATACGCCCTTTGAGTTACAAATCTATATTGGGAAAGAAAGATATTAACATATATTTCAATTTAAATGCAAATTAGTCGCATTCTTGTATTCGTTATGCCCTTTTTATCACCAACTTCTCCTCCGAAACCTTGGTTACTTGATGGCGTAACTGTTGCTAATCCAAAGGGGGCACTGGGTATGAAAACTCCAAATCTTAATTTAAGCCATAAAATGTTTGCTGAATAAAAGCGGATCGATGTTAATATATATTTCGCTCTGAACCCATGCCACTCTCACACCAATTTATTGTTAAGTTAAACCCAAAATATGATGTTGCGCGAACATTCCAGAAAATGTGGTGTAAAAAGCTATAAGTTCATTTGAAATAATATCTCGCATTTATAACAAAGATAAAGTATAGCACATCAAATTCAAGAATATTTGCTAAGAAAGTAATTCACAGAAACAGAAATACTCACGTCCACATATTGGTGGTTCCTTGTCAAACACATCTCTGTCAGTACACGTGATTGTAAGAGAACCATATACATGGATATATGAAAGGGTTGCACACGTGAAGGTAACGGTCGCTTGACTGTTGACCCGGGCAGTAGTTGGAGTTCGACTTGAATGAGGAACCTCTGGCACGTCACATTCTAAAACATAAAAAAACGATTAATTCATTTTTGATTTTGATTTTTTCACTTTTGAAGATTCGAATATATATTTTAATGTAGACTACATGTACTTTGGCATATATTTCTAATAAGACCCGAAGCCAAAAGATCAATATAGCTCTAAGAAGATCCTGTCTTTTACGCTAAGTTTATTCTTTACTTTGGTCAGTCCACAAAAAAGAAAAGATTTCACGTAAACGATATCTTTGGTAAGATAAACGAATTATAACTAGGCCCGTAACCAGCAAATTCAAAGACGATGGTCTTTTTTGAAAAAAAAATGGACCTTTTCCCATGATACCTTTGTGTATCTTCATCTATTTTTAAACAGAGGATACCTTATTGCGGCAAAAAGGGCGGTTCGCTCGAACCCCCCCTTCCCAGCTACGGGCATGCTAAAGGTATTTGTTCGTGCATGCAACACCTTCTGCAAATTAATGCTGCACGAAAATTGCCAGTGCTAGGCAGATAAGCAGTCACTAGTCTAATAACATACTGAAATAGCTACACTAGAACTGGGTATTGACGGGATAAACTTTTTTGTAAATTTGGGGGTCCACACCACTTCCTTGGAGAAATTCAAGATGACCCCTGTTTCTCGTCTGATTCATCATCAATTACTGTGCGAAATGATATCATCTTTACAACAATCTTTTGAGCTTTTGCTAAAATACATTAATCAGAATAGAAGGATAGTTTTATTGTAGAATATAGGGGACAAGGGTGGAAATGTGTTTGATCTTGACTCAAGTCCTTCTTTTTATTTATTTATTATCTTTATGGGGGGGGGGGGAGGGATTGAAGAGGTACTTCCGAAGCTACGGGGGATGGGGGTGCATGGATCTCCTGTATTTAAAAACTGGACCCGCTTACCTGCGTCGATTCCTTGCCATCCGCGAATTAAACAAAATATCAGAGAAGATTTTAAAATATTCGACAGCCCTTTCATTGTCTTGTTGTCCTAGCTCTGAAATAAATGTCAATAAAAATTTGTTGATATTTCAAACAATGGTATATGAGTGAATAATCTCATCATTGAGGGTGACTCATTATCAACTAGTAATGTCCTCTTAAATGAAGTTTAATTGTAATGCACAAAGCATCACGTATTATAAGCACGTTACAAAAAAGCCAAACCACTTTATAGGTTCATCTTTATGTAATACATGTAATAGAATAGATAACAAAAACTTGATAAATAGTATATAAACAAAATGAAAAAATCACACTGACATGTATAACACTTTCGGAACAACCCCTGACAATAAAAGCAAAATAAAAAGGATTGAAAAAACAAGCGGATCCAGATGTGGTCTTGAAGATATTAAATAAAAGTGAATGTGTTACTTCCCATCTGTCGACAAGAGTAATTGTATGCATAAATGTGATAAGGAAGTATCTCTGCCAGGGCCCGAAAACTTACAAAATCAGTTCATGGTGAAAAGAAGGCCAAATGTCAAATTCAAGGTCACAGTAAGATTGCCATTGCGTGACTTCCCATCCCAGTTCAATAGTAACTATAATCATATCAGTGACAGTTCTGGGGTTAGAAGGGTCATAAAATTGGCACCAACATTGGTGTCCATTTTGAAATAACGCAGCTCCTAAACCATTTTAATGGGCAGTACTTTAATTCAGTGTTGCGTTTGACATGCTCTACAAAACGCAGCAAACAAAACGATTCTAGCTTTTACGATTCCAGAATATGAGTTTTCAGATTCGGCGGCTTTTTCTTGAACATGCACAGATTGATCCCAAAAGTTCGGTCACGTACTTGTTTGGATACAGCGTGCCTCTTCAGGGGAAAATTGGTGTAACATGATCAAAACTGCAACATGTAGAGCGCTAACAGACACACTTATAAACGAACAGAGAGACTGACAGAGATACTGTCGAAATCGACAGTTTTCAAAAGGAACAAATTAAAAAGATAAGATTAAATAAATAATTATATATTTTTAAAAACTAACCGGTTATGTCTTCTAAGATCGATGAAAAAAGTTCAACTTTGTAATTGAGCAAACAAGGAAGCAAATAATCCCAGGCACTACAGCATGTATCAGCATTACTGTATTACTAACCGAGTGGTGTAACTTATTAACTTTTCTCGTTGAGTAAGTTCTGATAAGGTAGCACGCCTTTTTGTTATCTACTTTTTGTCTAGCCACTAGTACATGTACCCTCCTTATATGTAGTGTTCCGAAGGAGTGTTCACCCTCTACGGTCACTTGTTTCCAATCCAACGACTACCAAATCAAAGACATTGAGTGCTTTACCTGTGCTGGTATATTTTAAACAACTGAAAATTCGATAGCCTGTCTATGACGTATGAAAGTCACCTAAACTGCCTCCCCTCCTCACTCGACACAGTCCATTGATTAACTTCCAGGTAAAATGTAAGGAGCAAATCGTGAAAGGGCGTAAAAAATGTATCGTAGGTAGCCTACACATTAGGTCCTATTAAAATAACCGCTCTCTGGACTGCGTACTGCTCAACGTGATAAAAGGGTCCAAGACATAACGCTCACTGTAAAAAGGCTTTACTTTATAAGCCCAGGTTGTATCTTTCCACCACTCCCCTGCTTTTAAGTCTTGTAAATAAGATCTCTCACAAGAGAAGACCAATCGAATTGTTGTGTCGCCTTTCTGCCACAACTGACTGTGGTGACAAGAAGTCCAGCGTGAAGCAAAAAAGTGACAAATCGTAATCATGCTGTATTCTCACGGTTTATAGTGCATACACTGTAGGCCTAATAACGGAATTACAACTTGAGACAAATATCGCCCAGGATCACTACTGTGTTTATTCTGACCACAGTAATGGTGATTAAACGTGTATCATAGATATTTTAGTCATTTAGAGAATCCTGTACGTAGGACATGTCGCTTACTGTACAAAGCATTTACACTTAGCCGCCTGGGCGCTCTTACTGTATCAAAGACTCGATCCAATACTCACCAATGCACATCAATTCTTTCGTAACATCATGGCTTTTCTGCTGCTTACATGTACTGATTATAGCACATGTAGGGCCTACATGTAACAGGTATTATACAAACCCTAATTTTTTATAGCCCTTTTATAGCCCTTTCTGTTGAATTACCTTAAAAAGATAAGGCTTGTCAAAGTGTGGCGAGGCCTAGGTGCGTATCTGCGGAGTTTTGTGAACAAGGAAGTGACCCATTTTATATTTTACACGACGCACGGTGTAGCTCCGTGTTTTAAAACAACAAAGCTGCTAAGGGGGGAAAAATAAACATGAATAACAATGGGACCAACCTCTGTTGCCACTGCCCTGTAATATTCTACTACTACTGGTACTTTTGAGGACATTGCACTGTTGTTTGTTCAGATTGCAGAAGCTGATAATAAAAGTAAGCTTGTAATGTAGCAGCTTATAATGTTCGGTAATTTTATTTAGATCATGCAGGTAGAGCACACACTGTCTTCATACCTTTTGTTGGGTAATGCGTTATCTCTTTTGTCTTAATTTGTACTAAAAAGATATTTATTTGAATACTCTAGATCTCAGATGTATTTTGTCGCCTAAGCACTGTTACGTTATCTATACAATGAACACGAATCGAGGTCACATTGAAATAAAAAAGGAAAAGGTGGTATACTTCCTGATTTAGAGGACACAATATTGCCCTACAGAAACTAACTTACTTCAACTCGCCGCCATTACATCGTCTATAAGACTTTGACTACTGTTATGCTAGTGGCAGTTTCAAAGTAAGGTACGTTTTCACAGGCGGGTGGCTACGGGTGAAACCACTAGTAAAACGTCAGTGAATTGTACTTAAATATATAATAATGTTATGTACATCAAAATTAGGATGATCTAAGTCCGCTTTGTTAGGCGAACCCTGAATTACGCAGGTAACTTTGAATGTTATTCTTGTCATCTCAGACATCTGGGATAAATATATCCTACACTAGCGTCCCTACATTTCCAACGTAAACTTTGTTTTGCCTCCGTAACCCTTTTATTTTTCCAAAAGTTTAAAGATGACTTCAGCCCATGCCCCTTTTTCAAAAGGGAAAAACACAGCACAAACCGAAGCTCCTCGATGTAAGTGCGATGCAGTTTTAAAATAACTGTAAAATATGTCCTAGAATGCACCACGTTAATAAAGTTTTCTTTGCAGTCGGAGGTCATTTTTTTTAAATTAAAAAATCAGACATCGTTTCCTTTGAGCGCTGAACAAACTGAATACAATATATGAATTAGCCTTAGAAATCGGTTTATTTTTGATACTGCACAGGTACAAAATCTATTAAAACTGATTCATCATCATCATAGGGTACCATCCACTATTAGCAGGTTGGGCTAGCGCTGTCATGGTTCGCTACGCCTCTCCATGTTGTGCCATTCGTATACTTTCACTATAGTTTTGAATGGTCCGTTATTTAATGTTGTCCATCCATGCGGTTCTTGGTCTTCCTTTCCCACGTTTCCCATTAAACTTTCCTTTCAAAAGCAACCACTGCAAATTACCTCTTCTTGTGATGTGACCAAAATAAGTTAAATTTCTTTTCTTAAAAGCGTTCAATAAGGATATTTTAATTTTCGGATTATTTAGCACTTCCTCATTACATTTGTGTTCTACTCCCTTCAAAAGTCAGAAATCAGTTATGGCTTGGAATAAAAAAAATAATCGGCATGTAAACTAACCTCATTTTAGGACAAGAGTGGCCACAATGAAGGAATTGTTACAACTGTGTGAATTTTTCTGTATATGCAATTTGGTCATTGACCTACGTGGAACTAACGCAGGTAGCTTGTTTCTGGTCACACTTATAGTAGTTAACATAAAAAAGGATAAATATCCATATATTCGTAAATGCATTAGCTGCAAATAAAATCATTTGCAACATTATGAATGTCTTTTGAAGAAAATCAAATATATTCGTATGTACTCGTGTAAAGTTGGTTTTATGAATTTAGTATTAGAATAACTAAGGCATCTGTTTCTACAAAGAAAAGTGACTTGGCCACTTGGGTATTTCGTACTATAGATTGTGTCGTGCCAGACGTTCCTCATTCAAGTAGAACTCCAGCTGCTGCCCGTGTTAACAGTCACCAAAGTGGTTCCTACACGTGTGTTACTCCTCCATACATCCATATATACGGGTCTTTTACAACCACGTGCACTGGCCGAGAAGATGTGTTTGATAAGGAACCGCCAGTATGTGAACGTGGGTATTTCTCATATCTTTTTTTTTTTTTGCTGCAGATTACAATCGAATAAAAACGTGGTCTTTTTTATTCATTTTCCTGAACTCATTGCGACCATGGAAGTAGATTTACTTCCACGATACGACATATTTCATCTAAATTATCAAACCGAAACATTAGTATTTCATAATATGAGAGTATATTTGTTCCTTACACAAAAGTTAAAGCAATATTGTTGAACGATGTATTCAGCCTTATATACCTCTTTTACTTCTATTGAATAGAAACGTTTTTTTTCTCGAATATCTTGACTTCGATATGACATATTCCATTGCTACTTACTTATATTTACTAATGAGAATATAATTGTCCTTCCCACTACTTTGAGGATTTATCATAATCACGCCGTTGTTCTTATATAAGAAATAGAAGAAACGCACAAAAGAAGATCAACATGATTGCTACAAGACTGGTTTTGAGTCTCAAAGTCCAACAGTTTAAAGTTGATGTTTTCATATTA